AAACAATGGACTTGTGATAAGGCTCCTGAAATACTCAGGTCTTCACTTTAAGTTTTCATTTAGTGATGAGTGAATTTTTGCTAGAAAAAGAGCAGGAGAAATAAGTGTCTCAGAGCCGGCAAAAGCTATGAAAAGAGTGACACTTTATCTCACAGAGTATGACGCAGCCTGCAGAAGTGACATGCATGGTTGTTGTCACCACTAGAATTACCTACTGTAGCCAAAGCACAATAAACTCATTTAACCTCTTCCAGGGCCCATATTTACAAAATAGAGACTTCTGGGAATCCATACTCTGGTCTCAAGAGACCAAGTCAATCATTTCGGATCTAACAGCATCCAAAATGTTCTGGTGTTGCTAGAGGAGGAGTACAGAGAGAAGTGCCTGGTTCCCACGGTGGCATTCAGTGGTAGTCAAAGCTCTTCTATAGGGATGAATGAGTGCTGAAGGTGTGAGGGAGTTGTGCTTTATCAATGCTGGCATGAATTCACACACCACTGTGTGATGTAATACAAAAACCTGAAACTGAAGATGCTACCCTCTTCTCATTCCTTGCATTGTTGGGCATTTTTTTTAATATGACAATGAAGATATTCATTCTCCTGAGTTGAAAATCCTTCAGTGGACATGTATTTCACTCAATCTTAATACTCTTGAGCTGCTGTGAGAGATTCTGTAGACGAGCTGAGCAACACTCCACATTAAAGATCAGGGCATTTAAGGAGGTCGTCCTCCAGGAGTTAAACAGCACAGATGTGAAAATTTGTCATGAACTTGTACACATATCAAATGCAAAGTGTTGTGGTAAACTGGTTTTTGGGGTTGGCCATAAAAGAAAGAGAGATCGCAGTTCTTCGTTGGGGTGGGGTGTGTTCGCCGTCTGGAACATTTCAATTAAGCCGTTTTTCCAATCGGACAGTTGAGCATTGTGTCCTACCTCTGCTCTTTGTTTAAACGTCAGGGCTGGAGACTATTATACAGCAGCCATTCATACAAGAAAGAGAGAGCTCTCATTCCTCTCTATTTAAACGGCTGAAAGACAAACCATTCATCTCTCTACGAGAGGAGGAGGAGGATAAGCAAGGGGTATATTAAATATAAATAACATCTGCAAACGAGGCACGAGGCATGTGGGTCACAATGGAAAAGTATCTCAATCAGAGAGCAGGAGGAAGAGAGCATAGCAACATTCACTCGTGGGACTGAAAGTGTCTTGGACCACACAGAAAAGTTAAGAGACACTCATTTTAACAATAAAGTAAATAAAAATAATCTTTAAATTATTGCCATGACATAATGTTTGTTTTTCAGTACAATAAAATATCTAAAAACAAATTAAATGTAAAAATAATAAAAATAAATAAATAAATGTAACAAATATAATACAAACAATAAAAACTCAATTAAAAATAAAATAAACATAAAATAAAATGCTTAACCAAATCTAAAATTAAAAATATATATTGAACTAAAAATAAAACAAAATATATAAAATATAACAAGGTTTAAATGAAATAAACCTTAAAAATAATAAAAATGTTAAAAATAATACTAAATAATAAAAAAAAAAAATACAAAATATTTTTTTAACTGAATATAATCCAAACATTTTTTACTAAAAGTAAAAAATATAAAATGATTAATTGTATATAAACTAGTACAGAAAATAAAAAAAGATTGAACTTTATATAACAAGGTTTAACTAAAATAAAATACATCATCTAAATTAACTCAATAAGTGTGCCACTACTGATTGCTGACACACCTGCAGTTCTCAAAGCTTCACCCATGAGCCCTGTCAGAAATCAAACACTGAATATCTGAGAAGGCTTGTGCAGATGTAATCAAGGATGGTGTGTTTTCTTTATTCTGTCTGGGGTTTGGACAAACCCAGCGCATGTAATTGCGCCATCTGTGCAATTTGGGCCCAAAAATTGGTCATGCTCTAAAGGTGGCTGTGATGATCGATGGCTTATTTTTTCATCCCCAAAACACACACACACCTCAGAGAGCAAGCGCACATTTTCCGTGAACACACACGGCAAATGAATAGGTCATTCTTTTGCGCCCCCCCCCCCCCCCTCACTAGAAGAAATGGCAGATGAAACCATAGATCATGGCCAGGAAGCCAGACACAGCCTAGAGGGAGAGGATGGATGAAAAAAAGAAAGAGAATGAGAGAAAGAGAGAGATTCCATGTAGCCAAAACCATTTGCAGGTCGTCTCTTGGTACACAGTGACAGTACTTGTTGCTCCAGAGCCACATTAAGCCCAGCTGCAGAAGTAAAGCTCTGCTCATATAGGTTCCATTTTTTAAAGAATGTCTCCCCCACCAAACATAAATGATGTATCGCCATCAAACCAATGAAAGCCCTGTGGGGTATATGTCCATGGTTAATCTGAGTCAGGGTGATGGGGTCATCCCGAACGCTGTTTCGATGATAAACGGCATCCTGGGACGCAACATCTGTGGCTGTATAACTGACGGAACACACCTGTAACACCAGATCTGAACTTCTAGTTATTGTGTGAAGCCAATATAGTCTAAATATTCACACCTGTGGCTGCAAATCAATTGAAATGTAATAATATGCCTAGTTGGTCACCATTTGTCGGCAGGTCTTTTTACCAAGTTTCTCTTTAATTTTATTGTCTGCTTACATTTTTATTTATTTTTATTTTTTGTTGTTGCCATTCACCAGAAAAAAATGACCGTGAATTCTTATTTTGTTGCTCACATAAACCTTGCGTACAATTATTGTATAGAACTATTGAAGGGGGAGGGTGTTCTCTATATATTATTAGCTGGTATTGATAAAGCAGGAGGTTTATTAAAGAAACTGGGACATGTGGATCCGCATCTGGCCATTTCTCTCTCTCTCTCTGACGATTTCCTGTTCTCTTTTTACTGTAATTAATAAAGTGGCAAAAGACCATCAAAAGCAAGTTTTATTAAATCAGACATACTTTCCAAGGCACTGACTCGACAGTATAATCAACAGTATGTCTAATTAGCACTGTGTGCTGACAGTCAGACTCCGCCCCCTCTGATGGAACCGTATGTCACTGCCGCTAAAGACCTGCCATCATATTTGTCACAGACTTCAACACAGATATAATCTACAGCTCATAGTTTAAGATCAATTTTGGTTACATACTTAAATTACTCTATAATTAGTTTTAAATTGCAGCTTTTGCCCAAGTTATATAAAGCAACGGCTTGTTAATGTGATAAACAAATAATGAAACATAATAAATGTTTGGTATTTCAGTCACTTAATTTTCCTGTCTTATCCATCTCTTTATTACACCTCCAATAAATGTCTGTCAAATGCTAATTCAAACTCAAAATTCCTCCCGTGTTTCTCGCAGGGCAAATATGCGAGAAGAAACAGCCTTCACGGTGCAGAGTGTTATTGAAAGCAAACGCTCACTGCTACATGTCGGTAGAGTCTCCAGCTATGAGCTCAATAAACCTCCTGCTTTATCAATACCAGCACACATTCAAGGATTTGGGTGTGTGTCTGTAATGTGCATGGTTTATGGATATCACCATGGCAACATCTGGCCTCTAGAATGGCTCACTTGGTCACTATGTCACGTCTGGACGATTTCCTCAGTAAAATTATGGTGAGAAGGAAAAAAGAACAAATGAAGTGTTGTAAAATGACAGAATGGGTAAAAAAAGGCTATCAGAGAAGACCAGCTAGCAAAAGAATGAAAATGATGAGTGTGTGAAAGCCATAAATGGCTTTGTCCAGCTGAGAGGTGAACTTTCATTTGGTTTTAATTGCTGCAAGTGTCTTCCCCTGTGTAGTTGTGTTTACACGACCAGTCAAAAATTTAGCACACATACACATTCATTATGTTAGTATTTTCCACAACTTAAAAGTCTTAACACTATGAAACACATACAGTAAATTAAATTAAAAGCTGCATAAATTAAAAGGGCACATGATTATTTTTTATGGTTGGCCCTCCACTTCCCTAGGCCAATGAGAAAATGAATAAATAAATAAATATTTAATATAAAATCTAGAATAAAATTTGAAATATTTGTAAAAACGTAATAAAACTATATTTAAAAATGTAAATATATAATGATATATAATGTCGATTTTGAATTGAATGAAAACCAGATACAACCAGCTTAGACTGATTTAAGCAGGACTTTTTTTTTCAGCAGGCTTATAAGGTTTATACAAAGTATTATGTCGAAAGTTTGGTTTTAATGACAAAAGGAATATTCAAAATCATTTAACTTAAAATCTGCAAAGAAGTGGAAAAATATGTTAAAATACTCAATTTAATATCAACAAACTTTTAGTTTATGAATAAGCTTTGTTCACAAAATTTGTAATTTTCTGTAATCTATAATTGCATTTTATTCTGTCATTTATATATATTTTTATTTATGTATTATTTATTATATTTATAGTTTTATATGGCTTAAATGTTTTATATACATTAGAATACATTACAATATAATATAATATAATAATTTTATAGTCTGATATATATTGTGCATATATTGTGACGACATATTAAATATTAAAAATGTCAAATTATATATATAGTATTTTTTTAAGCAATTCACGTCATCACAATTTATATGTCTATAAAATTAATTTCAAGCATTTAAGCATAAACTTTCAGATTTAAATGTTATTAAACATAAATTCAGTCAAGTGTGTCCGAACTTTTGATGGAAAGCATATACATACACAACTACCTCGACACACACACACATGCAGTGAACTGAAGAGCTGGCAGTTTCTCCTTCCGTCTTGTCATGTTGCCTATATTAAGACGTCCACCACACAAATCAGATTACAGCCAGCTGATACTTCCTCTCGGCTCTCTGATAGAGCAGTACAGAAGAACACTGACCTTCAGAGAGTGAGAGAGATGTGTAGAGTTTCCTCACTGTACTGTGTTACACAGAGACCATGAGGAGCAGCTATGTGAGGAAACAATACAAGCACTGTCGCTATGATCAAACGCTTCGAACAGAAGGAGTGATACGCATGTACAAATATACACACATGCTTTCAAACCCACATATGCTCCCACAGTGGACACACACTGGGCATTATACTTGATGATGGAGCCAAGTGCCGCTGTTGGAAGTTGGGTGAATGAGTCAATCTCATGGAAACGAATCGTATTTCATACCAAAACGTGTATAAAAAAATCAATAAATAAATATTTGAAATATAATCTAAAATGTATTTAAAATATATTAAAACATATTAAAAATATATTTAAAAATGTAAATATATAATAATACTTTCTATCTATCTATCTACACTGAACAAAATTATAAACGCAACACTTTTGTTTTTGCCCCCATTTTTCATGAGCTGAAAGATCTAACTTTTTCTATGTACACAAAAGGCCTATTTCTCTCAAATATTGTTCACAAATCTGTCTAAATCTGTGTTAGTGAGCACTTCTCCTTTGCCGAGATAATCCATCCACCTCACAGGTGTGGCATATCAAGATGCTGATTAGACAGCATGATTATTGCACAGGTGTGCCTTAGGCTGGCCACAATAAGAGGCCACTCTAAAATGTGCAGTTTTATCACACAGCACAATGCCACAGATGTCGCAAGTTTTGAGGGAGCGTGCAATTGGCATGCTGACTGCAGGAATGTCCACCAGAGCTGTTGCCCGTGAATTGAATGTTCATTTCTCTACCATAAGCCGTCTCCAAAGGCGTTTCAGAGAATTTGGCCACCAGATACTGACTGGTTTTCGGAACCCCCCCGGACCCCCCAATACAGTAAAACTGCACATTTTAGAGTGGCCTTTTATTGTGGCCAGCCTAAGGCACACCTGTGCAATAATCATGCTGTCTAATCAGCATCTTGATATGCCACACCTGTGAGGTAGATGGATTATCTCGGCAAAGGAGAAGTGCTCACTAACACAGATTTAGACAGATTTGTGAACAATATTTGAGAGAAATAGGCCTTTTGTGTACATAGAAAAAGTCTTAGATCTTTGAGTTCAGCTCATGAAAAATGGGGGCAAAAACAAAAGTGTTGCGTTTATAATTTTGTTCAGTGTATCTATCTATCGAGTATATATTGTAGTAATTACAGTATATATTCTTCTGCATTATAGCAAAGAAATATTTTTAATATTTTTTTTGCATTACGATGATGAGATTTTTGAGGGCAAATGCACTTCATCATAAAAACAATGTCACACATTGAACAAATAAACTAAACCAATTCATTTTCTGAATAGCCAAATATAATTTCATATTTATTTCCTTTCAATTTTATGTGAAATATGAGCCGGACACATACTTAACAGGTTTCATGAGTCACCCAAAAAACAAACAACATCTCCCCAAACTACACGAGCAATATACCAAACTGACAAATCCATTGATGGATTTTTTTTTTTTTTTTTCCTCAGAAATTCCTCCCAGCCTCAGATAAACATTGTAAAGTTTATCATCCATACAGCAGTGAGCGCTGTTTAAATCAAGCTAACGCTAATCGAAGTTTCTTCTCGCTTAGTACGGGACAGCTTTATGTCTTCCCGCGGACCCCAGAGCGGCAGAGAGAGATGCCGGGGCTATCAGCAACTTTTAATTAAGTGGATGTGAATATGGGAAATGGAAAATTGTTCTGTCAGGCCGACGAAATGGAGTTTTTGATGTTTGAGGCACAACACGTGCCTCCGCCTGCCGTTTCTATTATACAATTAAGAGATACAAATGGAGAAAAAAAAACATAAGGAGCAAAGGGGAAGATGGACGTGGATGACATACAATGCTTCTTCACTAAGATCAGCAAGAAACGGGGAGAAGAAACAGCAATATCACTGAACATTAGGGTCCTGGTGTATTCTCTAATGCGGTGTGATATCTCTGTAAGCCTGAGGTACGGAAGCCAACATATTAAAATGTGGGCCGGATTACGGTGTGATTGTGTTTACGGATTGTCTTGACAATTTCTGCTCGCTAGATTCAAAGGGGAACAATAACATGTCTGTCTTTCGTGAGAGAACGCCGGTCGTCGGCCGTCCACCTCCTCAAACATAATAAAACCTGGAGAAAAAACACGTGACTCGGGCTAGAAAGACGGCGACGGAGGCTTGTTAGCCGGTGCTGTTGACAAGAGAGATGGCGAGATGCCTCAGATTACGATAAACAGGAAAAGAAGTGAATGTGGGGAGAGAAAAATTAATGAAAGATGGCTTCAAGGAAGCCGGAGTGATCCAATCACAATCTATCTCCCACGACCACTGTCAGTTCTCAAAGAGTCGGCAATATCTCAGCGAGACGGAGCGAAAAGGAGAAAGAGGACCCGCTATTTGAGAGAAAATGACCCCTGGGGCACCTCTCCCATTGACTCCTTCCTCCATAGGAGGAGGACCACTTAAAAGAGAGGGGAGAAAGAAAAGAAAAAAGATAGATGAAGGAAAGAAGACAGAACAAATAGCTTCAAACCAATTAATTTCCACTTAATTTCTCTTTCGCTCGGTCCTCTGGGTCTTAGTGTGCAGCGGCTACAAACAGAGAGAGAGCGGCCTGTGAAACTCATTCGGCTCATCCTGTACGTCCAAACTTACCCCAGCACCTGCAGAACGAACCGCTGCAGATGGACACAATAAACAAGCATGCATTTCAACACATTTGCACTTTAAGATGACAATTGTGACACATTTTACTTGCATAATGTAAAGTAAGTCCGGATGACAAAATATAGCATGGGGCTTGATTTTATCCATCAGGCTTTGATTTGATTGAGAAAACTGGACTATGATATTGATTCCTTAGAAATAAAAGCCTTACACCTGCTGAAAAAAACCTGCTTAAACCAGTCTAAACTGATTTTATCTGGTTTTCATCTGTTCTAGCTGGTCTTCCAGCCTTGACGTCCAGCTAAACCAGTCTAAAAGATCATCAAACCCTCTGAGACCAGCCAACTGACCAGGCTGGGAGAGCAGCTGAATCCAGCAAACCAGTTTAAACTGGTTTAAGCATTTGTTTGTTTATTTTTCCAGCAAGGAACCCCCTGCTTTACTACATCAGACCTTACTCCACACTAACTGATCTACATAGATGAATAGATACCTCAAACCATGTAGTTTGTTGAGGAGAGGCATGCTACTACTTTCTAAGCAATGAAAGTAATAAATTTCATGTTAAGGATGATAAAACAAATCAAACAAATTCCATAGACTTACACTGTAAATATAGCTTTGGTCTCTATTTCAGAGCATAATACAATAGATATGTTTTTATAGTATGTATTAATTTTTTGAAAAAGCTTTAAAAGCTTTTTTATGCTTTCAGTTGTCTATATATCTATTTATTTATTTATTTCATATAGCTTTAATTTATTTTTTATTTCAGTTTTAGTTTTTGGTCATTTTAGTACTTCACTTTATTTTATGTCAGTTGGTTGCCAATGCAAAATTTCTCACTTTCATTTGAGGGCCTTTTTTTCCATCTAATATTTTTTTCAGCTTAATTTCAATTACCAAAAAAAACGTTTTTAATAGTTGTAGTTAATAACAACAACAACACTGTTAGCAACATGGTAAATGCCGTTCAGAAAGCCTTTGCAAGTGCATAGAAATGTCTAGTATCCCCAAACATTGGTTACATCAGCAGAAAGTGACTAACATGCACTGACATGCACTGTGCATAAAAAAACCAGGGCCATTTATTAAGAAAGTAAATAAACAAAGGAAATCAAATCCCCCAGCATCCATGCATGGTTATGATCTGACCTTCAGGGTTTTCCAGTCTCAGCCGCACGCTGGCCACAGCAACACTGCTCTCATCTCAATTACAATGCCTCTCAACCTCCAGAGAAACGGTTCATCACTCTGTGTGGCCATCGCTAGTGCTATGTACACAACTTCCTGTGAGAGAAGCACTTCCTCCCCCTCGTTTGTATAGTAGTTCAAACATTTTTCCTCCATAAAACCTTCTTTCCAAACAAAGCCATTTACAGCTGCACTTAAATCAATATCAGTCCAAACTCAAAGTGAATACATACGGCTCCATTTAAAGAACGTTAACATAACGCTCTTCACACTAAGTTAATGTGTTGAAGGGTTATGAAGCCCGCCCTCTCAACCTGCAATCTACACGCTGCCCGTATCAGAGGCACTCATACAGAAACCATCTATACCAATTACAGAACATTTTCCATCTGAAGACGTGGATACATTAAAAACAATTATCGCCAAGCGCTGATGGATCGCAGTGTTGGTGCAGCTAACATGTTTTTGTATGTCTAGGTAGGTGTGTGTGTGTGTGTACCGAGAACCATTGCAGTAAATAAATTTAAAGGAGAGACAAAATCATCTAACATTGTCAGTATAGCTCCTTCGTTCAGAGTCTAAATCTCTCCTACAAAATGGCACTGCAAACAGCTGTTCTCCACAGTAAACGACTCTGGATCTAAGTGTCCGGGTGAGGTTAAAGGTCAGACGTTGGGCTTAGTTTGTAAATTACAGAGCGATTCGAGATCAGTCCTCATATAACTGGACGTTTTCTCCTTGTCTGTTGACTTCTGGCATACATTTGAACTCTTCAATGTGCCCCTTGGGCTAGAGAGATCTTGTTCACCAAAGATCAATTATTGGGAAATGAATATTGAGTAACATTTGTGAATGAAGCTTGTGTACATAATGTATTGTAAATGTATTCTTAATGCATCTTTAATATAGCCTTAGAATAAGTTGCATATTCTTGTAAATAACTGAAAGCAGTTATAATACATTATAATACTTACCTATTCATGAGGCCATCTTTAAAGATCATAACAATCCATTCATAATGCATTAGACTCTTTTAAGTTGTAGCCATGAATAGGTAAGTATTATAATGTATTTTAACTGTAGCTTCAATTATTTATGAGA